GTAGTATCAAAGCAATTGGACTTGCGGTTTTTAACAAGAAGTCGAAAATATCACTTTTTACCAAAAATGCCAAAAATATTCACCAAAATTAGAGAATTGAAGATATCATCACGAAATGAACAAATCTGAGAGAGGTCCACATGTAGTACCTATATATGTAGTATCAAAGCAATTGGACTTGCGGTTTTCAACAAGAAGTCGAAAATATCACTTTTTACCAAAAATGACAAAAATATTCACCAAAATTAGAGAATTAAAGATATCATTACAAAATGAACAAATCTGAGAGAGGTCCACATGTAGTACCTATATATGTAATATCAAAGTAATTGCACTTGCGGTTTTTAACAAGAAGTCGAAAATATAACTTTTTACCAAAAATGACAAAAATATTCACCAAAATTAGAGAATTGAAGATATCAACATGAAATGAACAAACCTAAGAGAGGTCTACCCAAGGTACATATACACCAAGTATCAAAGCATTCAGGCTTGTAGTTTTCAAGAAGAAGTCGAAAAAGTAAAACATTAACACGGACGACGACGGACAATCACTCATATGATAAGCTCCGCTCGACAAAGTCGACAGCGGAGCTAAAAAACTAAAAAAAAAGACGAAAAAACGCCGGGTGATTTCATGGTCCGTTGCAGACTACTCGACCGAACGTCCATACACGTGTTGTCATTGCACATCGGCCATGTTGAATTGTACGAGATCGGCAAAATCTTCATTACAACTAACAGTTTAATGCTCACAACATAAAAATACAAATATAATCATATGCAACCTACTATTATATAATGAATAAGTTGATCGACACAGGGACATTCCCCCCCCCCTAAGCTAAAGACCGGATAACGATTTACTTGAAACTATGTCCCCATGAATTAATCGTTCGTGTACAATAATTTGACAGGGTATACAATTTACAAACTTCGTAGATTGGAGACAATTGTTTGCTTTTTTGGTTTTTCACAAGAATATAAAGCTGGCAAGTATCATAATATTCATGTCCGTACGTACGTCATGGAATGTACACCAATCGTACCCCAAAATACATTCAATTTTGTAGAAACTGGAGAACTTACCTTTGCAAACATGTCTCTTATGCCGCCTTCTTGAAGTTCTTGAAATCAAATAAGGTTACTAGTTCTTCTAGTAACTAGTGAATGAGACCACTGAGCCGAACAGAATACATGTATAAACAGTACTATAATAAATTGCACGCAATGGAGAAATCATGTGCTGTAGCGTTACTCACAGATCTAATCTACTGTAAAATATTTTTTTTCAGCTGGAATTATCATTCGCTGAAAAGACTTTTTCTGGCTGTTTTTTGTATTGAATTTATTTTTGACAAGTTTGACTGTAAAATATAGGAAAAAGGGAATATTCACTGGATTTTATTTTAACTGAAACATTTCTTCAGCGAAAATAGCAAAAAAATGTTGCAAGCAAAAATAAAGTATTTTACAGTAATTAATTTATTCTGAGCATGCGCAGACGTTCTGTCAATGTTGCCGGGAGAGCTAATTTTTGATAAAAATCGTGAAAAAGACCCACTTGGGATTTTCAGATCTGGAAAAAAAATTA